GATTCTCATAATACAGGCAACAAATAACCATCTATTAGAAAATGCAAACAGTATTTTCTATTTCTTATTATTTACAATGAGGAATAGTATGCTTGTAAACCATCATTATATGATCTACATAAAATGTAAATGAACTGGTTTTTATAGTGTAATATAACGGTTTTTTCGAAAACAACAGTACAACCATCATATTGGTTCCATATTTATATAATAATAGTATAACACGATAATACAATATACATCATTAACAACACAAAAATCATAATTCGAAAGTAATACATCTGATTGAATTGTACATTTGAATAATACTTTACTTAAATTACTCTATGACACTAGCAAAGGATAAGCCTGATTGCAATTAGAGAATGGCTATTAGTATATCCAATAGCTATAACATAATTACTCTATATATCATTTTCACAACTCATATTATAAAGCAAACAATGTATATTATCGCATTAACTAGTTATGATAATTAATAATTGAGGTAATAGAATTGTTGCTTATATTCAATTGTTGACTCCTTCTCTATTATACTATATTTTAAAAAGAAATTAAGCGCAGCCACAGGAAAATGTAAATTGCTGTTGTAAAGTGTTTTCTAACGCAATATTATTATCATTACTATTTTTTCCTGTGATTAACTCAAATCCATTAATTATATTATTCAAATAGTATTTCAACAGGACTGTCTTAAAATCATAAGAAAAAGAAATGAGGTAGTCTTATACAAAAACTTACCCATTTTAATAATATGGATGATATTTCGGAATGATTTTCAAATAGTGACTGTAGGTTCCTTAATCTTGATGGAAACTAGTCTAAAATGGGAAAATTCCTATTATATGATTAATATCGTAAATAATAATTCGTTTTAAATGGAATGATTGTTCTGGCAGATAAAAACTATTATTGACCATTTGCAAGTACAATTTGAATATCAAAAATACTTACTCATCATTATATCCAAAGATCATTTGATCGAATGTAATTAGGAAAAAAATTATCTTAGATTCTTTCTTATTTTAAACTATTGTTGCCATGACTTATCATATTCATACATTACATTTTGGATTTTGGATACAGCGTACATTCTTATTTTTGCAAATACAAATATAGTACTCTCAGTATTTTGACTTAAGAGAGTTAATATAATATTATATGTTCTCATAAACGTCTATTTTGTATATTTCCAATGAAAGAAATAACCTCCTTATCGTTTTTATGTGTATTCCTTATTATAATACCTATAAAGACCTTATAGCAAAACGATTATTGTAAAAATGACTATTAATTATTATTCCAGGAAAAATATCTTAGGCATAGTACTTACAATATGCTCTTATGTATGATAATTCATTTCATAAAGTGACATAATATATAATATTCTGTAAAATAAACGCTACTTATTTCTTATTTTTTTTGTTTTTCTTAATTACCAACAAACAATGCCAAACCTCTAGCTTTGTGGTACCCATTCTTCATCTACTGGACGAGATACAAATTTATAGTTTATAGGTGTATACGAAATATTGGTGGTTTTGTAATATCTATTTTCGATCTTTATTTGATATGTATTTTGTATGCTGATTAAATAGTTGTTTAGAATCTTCGTACAAAACTTTTCATTGTTTCCTCGTTCTTGGCGTAATGCTGGTAGTGCCTGGTATTTTGCATCCATTGATTTGATAGTGCCAATATTGTTCACCAATGCTGATAGAACAGCTTGGTCTTGCCTATGATTTGTCATATTCGATCCTCGTGGAGATATGCACCTCTGTGTATAAGCACATTGTTGATATGGTATTATCACTCTGTTTATGACAGTTTTATTGGACCAATCAGTAATCAAATGACCTCCACAACCCATTCTCCATTTTGGATCATATGAATCAATAAAATGGTTTTGCTCTAAAAACTTGATCGTAGTAATATGTGTCCATTTTCCTGCACCACCACCAGATACAGGAGAATAGATTCCTTCAAGACGAGCATTTGTCACTTCTCTGCTGATTCCATCTCGGATAAGACTTCCTCCATCAATCCAAAATGTTATTGCTTTCCACGAAAACAAAGCATCCATGTAGGACACCACTTTCCAAGTATAACCACCACGCTGATCCTTGTTCTCAAACAGATTCATCCATTTGGGAAAAGAACTCCAATTGAATTTGCGATATGCGATAAACCCAGTGGATTTCATTTTCTTTTGAATCTCATGAATTGTTTCGAAATGAGCAAACAACTTCTCCTTCAATTCAGGTGATAAACCTAAATCAATATACATATATGAGGCATATGGATCTGCCAAAACCATAGAATAAAGACAATTAAAGGAACCATAACCATGATTATCTGATGCACCTGTCATCATCAATACATCTGAAGTGTGTAAATGATAGGTAGGAATATCTCCAGTTAGAAGAAATGGTAATGATTTATTGGCAATTCCATAGTTCTCGTAGTGTGTTGAAACGTCTGATACTAATTGATTGAAAGGAACAGGATACTCAATATCGTCATAGTCATATTCTATACAATCATAAGAATGGCAATGCACTACGATTTTTGGAACAGCATCCAAATCTTGGCAGCTTTACAGGGTAGGAAACAACATCATTTACTACAAACAGTGTTTGTACTGTCGAGCCATTTACTTCTTTTGCTTCTTGACTTTGTCTTATAATGGAAAGTATGTACATATATACAAAGAATGAGCAGAAGGAAAGTGCATAAAATATAATATTCATGCTACCTTCTTGTAAAAAAGAATTTGAACTATTTAACATATCTTGTTATGATCTATAATGCCATTTGATGTTATGCTATGAATGCATAATACTTTATGCATTTGATTCATTCTAGGCTTGTACTATTTGGGCATTTGTAAGTATGACTAACAACCAAAATATCGTTTTAGTAAAATAGTATTGAGTCATATTACTTGTACATTATCATACGAATGAGTAAGATACAAAGATGAAACTAGTTGTTGGCATTTACTTGTACAGCGAAAACTATTCGTAAGCAAATGTTACAGAACAATTTCCATATTATTCTAAATTAGTCTTGTTATTATTATTATTACGTTAGTATCAGCAAATACAATAAAGTACTATAATGATGTGCTGTCGTATGGATTTCCTTTTTTGTGTATAATATAGATGAGGGAGTTCGGCAACTGCAAGCTATTGTCGTCGATCGATCGATCAATCTTCATCTCCTCGCTGTTCATGTTTGTATCGAGAGCAATTTGCTGATCACCTGTTTACAGCTCTATCAGAGTTGGAATACCGTCGATAACCCCGAAAGAGTCGGTAGAAAACAGCTGCAGTTACCCTCCACCGTCCGATCTCTTCCTTCCTATGTGAAATGGATGATTCATCACGCTGAACAAGATATTCCGACCCACAATCCTCCCACCCCGCTGTCTGCAATGATTTCAAAGCCATTATCGTAAGTTCAGCTATACGAAGAATCGAGACATACTCGCATCGAATCCTTAAAGATTTCACCTGTCAATCTGTCAATCTCTCTGGCTTTGGGATCTCAGTCTATGTCCTCGAGTTACGACTATTTTACTATCCAGGATTTGAAGTGTGTTTTCCCACAGATCAGAAGTATTGATGAACGATATCCTCGACGAATCAGCTATGTGCTTTCTCAGCTATTGTCCACCTATCGCAAGTCCTTGCTGTTCAGTCTTCTTTATCGGTTTGGAGAGCAAAACACCTGGCAATCTCTATCGATTCGTTTCTTCCTTCTATCAAAACATCAAAACGTTGGGAGAGAATGTGATTACCGCTTTATCCAATTGCACATTGTCACTTGTTCGCATGCTTTCCTATGTGAGCGAGTACATCGATGCACAGATCGTGAATATATCTCTGTCTGGAATCGATGCAATGATGGGTTTCACAAGTTGGCTCTACATATTCTTCCAACAAGTGAACGTTTTAGCGATTCCACACACGCTCCATGGAGAAATCACACTGCAAAGTCCCTACATCAAATCGAAAAAGCGCTATTCCTTGTTTGGAAGGCTGTGGAATCAGAATTCAACATTGATATGGTATATGATAGGAATGATCGGAATGGTTTCGCGTCCTCTGCAAATGGTTCTCTTCGATCTCCAAACAATGCGACATTATCTTGATGGTGAACAAGTCAACAAAACGCGAGCCAAACCTCCCAATGTAGCGATTGAAGGCATTGTAATGGTAAGAATTTGAATTGGATTTGATTCATTGTAGCCTTTTGATGAGATTTACAGCAAAGGACGTGAGTTGTTGACTCGTGTAGAAGATGGAAGACTGTATTTCGGTGTATTGTTTAGGCAATGCGTACATATTAACGACAAGGAATCATTTACTGATTGTTCAAGAGAAAATATCGCAGATTGTTTTACGATGCTGTGTGGCTTTCGATGATTGCTACAAGGTATATTTTCGGAGGAATGTAGATACAAACAATGTGGAGTTGTGTTTTGTGTGTATGAAGAATTGTTCGTTGTTCAAGAGTCGATGGGATCGGATTCAGTTGAAATTGGAAGAAGTGTGTGTGAATATGGGGAAGAGTGAAGATACTGAGAAGAGGTGTGAGAAACTGATTGGTATCATCGAGAATGAGAGAAGAAATCACAGTTATAGTAAGTTTTGGAGAGGAGGAATGAGTTGTAGTTTGGAGATATCAATATTCGTTGAATACATTAGCCCAGTTGGAGTGACTTGTTTGTTAATAAGTAAATGAATGATGTGTGTGATGATTTGATGAAATAGAAAGAAATGGAATGATTTGATTTGATTAGGAGTGAAAGAATAAATGATTCTTCACAGAATGAATGAATGATATTGATGATTCTATTTTCTGAAATCATTGTCGATTGCTTCAACGTAGTTCAATACACACTTGGTCAAAGAAATCCTTGCCAATGGTTTCATTCTATCTCAACATTTCACCAAACACCCATCCACACACACAGTATTCGAACAAACAAAAACTTCACCAATGACGATTCCACCCTTCCTTTCTTCCTTTCTTTCTTCATGTAGCCTCACAATCAGCTTAGAGAGAAGCTCTCTTGGCCTTCTCAGCAGCAATGGCAGCGGCACGAATGCTCAGCTTGCGCTGAGTCTTCAGTCCCATGATACCGCCACCCCACTTCTTGTTCTCGGCGTACTTGGTGGTGAAGCTCTCCTGCAGCGAGTTCAGCGCCGCCTCGTCTTCAGGGTTCACTCCCGTCAGACACACGCAAGTAGCGGTCTTCTGGTGCACCAGAGCGCCCAGACGGCCCTTGCCGCTCACGATCGCGTACGCAACGCCCATCTTGTGGCACAGAGCGGGCAGCCACATCACCAGCTCCAGGGGATCCACGTCGTTGGCAATCAGAACCAGCTTGGCCTTCTTGCGCTCCACCAGCTTCGTCACGTTGTCCAGACCGTACTTCACAACCAGAGCACGCTTCTCCTCCACGGGCTTGCCCTCAGCCTTCGCCTTGGCAGCAGCCTCCAGACGAGCCTTCTTCTCGGCCTCCGTCTCAGGAGCGTACTTGTTCATCAGACGGAACACCTCAGCAGCCTGGTTCTTGTCCAACACATGGCTGAACTAATTCACGGTGGGAGGAACCTTCAGACGCTGGCTCAGAATCTTACGCTGTCTCTGGATGATCACGTAACGAGACTATTTCAAAAATCGGGAGAGATCCTTCTTAGGCTATGAAATTAGGCCGAACGGAACGCTATCGTACCAGAACATCTCCTCCAATGCGGAAGTTCTTGGGAGTAGCAGCAAAGATGGGGTTCATAGAGTTAGCAGAGTCCTTAGCCTTAGTCTGGATATTAGAGATAGAAGCGAGCAAAATACCGAAGACATAGTATGAATCGTCAATGAAATAGCTGGGAGAATCAGAGATCAACTATTCATCAACATAATATATAGAATCAACAACAAAACTGAGGTCATAGCATTCTATACCAGATCTTTAGAGTTTCAGTAGGGTAGTAGCATTCACAAGTATAATCGAAATGACATCATATGATGTACATATTCTAAGAGATAATTCCATAGATTTACAGCAAGAGGAAATACAAGAAAATTCCAGGAAGCTGCTAAGCACTTTTCATGTGATTTAAGAGAACAGCGACTGCAACTTGAAATTCTCGAAGAATTGTATCTCAAAATGGAATCGCTCAATATAGATGTATTCTACAACTATGGAAATCTTCCTTTTCCATTTTTTCTAATTTCGACAATCATGCTCTTTCTATTGATGTATTCAGGATATAGCAAACCAATCGATCTAATAATGATAGTATGATATTCGAAATTATGAATTGAAACAAACACGCCAATATTCCCAAAATAAATCTGTTCTTGGTTTCTCATTGTAATCTACATCCCAATCAACTTTGGGTGCTTCATAAGGATAAACGGCTTTCTTCATTTCTGCACTTGATGTTATAACTTTGATTCCTTTGGCTGTTGTGTTACATTTTCCCTTAATAAACCATGCTCTAGGTTTATTTATTAGTTCTCTATCTTTTCCATTCATTATTTCACATTCATCTGGACTTCCATGAATCCATCGTAAAGGACCTGTCACAATTACTGAACTCCTGTAACAACGAGTAGGACCTGAAAATACTCCCTTTTCAGTAATTCCATGGGAAGCATAAAAAAAGTTACTACTCAACCATCTAAATGAAAACAATTTGTTTCGGTACTCTTTCATGGTTGAATGCATCGGACTTTGATCATCAAAAATGTGTTTTCGTGCTTGGAGTTTATAGGTTCTTATCCAAAATTCATGACTTCCTTTTCCCTATTTTGATAATACGGCTCCTCCAGAAGGATAAGGTCCACGGTTCACTCTACAAGAAAACGATATATCAATCTTGGTTTTTTGAATAGATCAATAATATCTGTATAGGACTTATTATCACAAGGATAAACATGAGTATCCGTGATAAAAGAATAATTGAATGGAAGATAAGCATTGTACAACACATGAGTGAGCCATTGCTTTTTAATGGTTTGCACCACATCTTCATTATGAACTGGGACAATCACATCAATTAGCTATGCAGTTGATGCAACAATGTCACAGTTAGTAACTACAGCAATTTTGGCATTAGGATCTTTTGCCTTAACAGCTGCACTATTCCTTTACACCTCCTTTAGATATCTTGGATTTTCACCACATCTGTTTTGAGTATACAAGTAATAAACAATCCCTCGTTCCATAATTGGTGGTCACGGATTAGGAAACGATTTGTAGACAAACAGAGATTGGATGTGTCTATAATCATCAAATATAAATTAATATATACAAATGAGGATAGCACTGAGTAGAATGAGCATATTTAGGATAGACTAACGTAGAATTGCAAACATTGCTTTGATAAATATTGGTATAATATTATGATATGCTTGTTGTTATTCCATTCGTTTTTGAGTTAGTACTAATAGATTTCTTAATAGACAGTATTTCTTTGTCATTTTCTTTCAGAGATTAATTGAAATAGAAAGAATATTACTGACATAAAGAAGTAAATATAAACAAAATAGATAATATTAATCTAGACTTGATGGTTCTATAATATAACTAATTTTCCTACAGAAGAACAGAGTGTTTAAAATGATATATGCATGATCAAGTAATATATCCTAATTGCTTTTTTATTGAGATAAGTTGGATTTCAATTTACTTATAGCATGTGATAAGTAATAATAATGATTGTAGTGTACTCACACAATATATATTTTATTTGACGAGTGTGCTATTGGCTTGACTTCTCTTTTTTACTATTCTAAAAAAGATATATTGTAAAACACACATAAATTAGTACAAAATGGTGTGATGACCAAATGCGAAATTACAAATCACTATGATTCATAAATTAATTAGAACTCAAAAAATACTTCTAAAAATATAGTGTAGAATATATAATTCCATATTTTCTTTTTGTTCTCTCTGCTGGAAATTACTATGAGTGTTTCAACTTTTATGATAGAATGCCTATTTTTCGAAAATAGATTAACAGCTATATAGGTGTTTGTAACTACTAGATATCACTCTATATTTTTAGTGTAAGGTTTTTAGTATATCGGAATGAAAGAATAATAATTATTCTTCTTATAACTTTTCATAATACATATAATACATATAATATCATAATTCTCTATTTACTTTATTTTGGCATTATTGCAAATTACAGCATACAACATTTAGTGTTTGTATTTATTACTAACATATGCTATTATTTTTCTATATGGCAAAATATTACAAAAGCACAATTACGAAATAGTTATTAAATGAAAAGCAAATAATAAATGTAAATATATATATATTTACTGTAAATATGTATTGAAAAAAAAAGAAATCATATAGAAAATTAATTTATATATATATATATATATATAATATATATATTAACATATATTAACATATATATTATATATATATTATATGTTAATATATGTTAAAATATATAATATATATTATACTTAATATTACTCAATATTATATATAATATTGGCTTTTATTTTTCAATTTCTATTATTTTCTTTAGTGTATTTCATTGTCGATACAATTATTATATATATATATATATATATAAGTATAATATCTCTATTTATACGTATAGACTTATTGACATAAAAGAAAAAACATGCAAACTAATAAATGAAGAAAAATGAAAAGTATAGAAATACATCGTAATTAATACTATTCTTCCAAATAGCCATATACATATATTTATGTTATCATTTAAAAATATGAATTTTCACATATATGGATAGATATTTATATATATATATATATAGTGGTAACAAAAAGTATATATGGAAACATTCAAATTTTTGAAAATGGAAAATCCTTTTAGTCATTATCATGTACTTGAAATTAGTAAAAAATAGCTGCTATTTATCATCTTAGTTTTTCATTCTACATTAATTTTACTTGAGTTATAATTATATTGTGTTGCACAGTCTATATAAATTCGTAAAAATGCCTTATATATTATTGATACTCATTTCCTGATTCCTGCTATTTATACATACAACTTGTGAAAAACAATATTTTATTTTTCTTTCTTATTTGGAAATTTCTAGGAGAAATGAAGGAGTGTTAATTTTTTCCCAGTGCAATGATTATTTTAGTCTCTATTTACTGCATACAGTAGTTTTTTTTACATATAATAACAATTTGACGCAAATATATATCATTTTTAATTTTAGTCCTCAATTTATGTTGTATTTATTTTTTATTATAATATCTAAGTGAAACTGTTCTAAATTTATTTCTCTAACCCAGAATATATAGAGAAGCATTTTATGCAAGTATTCTATACCATAAAATGCGTTTTCAATAAAATATGATACAAAATGTGTTTTTTGCATATAGTGAATTTTGGTATTTTCATTTCAAAATTGTTATTGAAGTGAAATTTGAGCTTTATTATCCTATATTATTTTTGTATATATCTCTATACTCATGTACATACTACTGAATATTCGAAAAGACTTAAAGTTGTTCATTGGAATGAATCACATCTATATGCAATTTTAGTGTGTAAAAATATCTTTTAGACTTTATTGGTATTTCATATAGATATTCTAAGTATGAATCAAGCGGTTATTTGAGTGTGTACATTTTTCCATCCAATATTAATTTACATATAAAATAATATAATGGTACTAAAAATACGTAGATAGGCATATATTGATATTCTTCTTCATATTGTAGTTGTTATTTAAGAAAATACTGTATTATCTATTATCACATGCGCCATACTTAGAAAAATGAAATTTCAATTTTGGCTTGTAATTTATGATTTTTACTATATGATACATTAGCCTTTAAGGTACATAAAGATGTAAAATTGATGGTACACTTATAGAATATATAATTAATAAAAGGACAATAAAAATTCTAATATCAGATTGTAATCATTACTTTTTCATTTTTATGCAGTGTATTAGCATTTGGTTTACCTTACTTGTATAGACTTTGAATATATATCTAAATAATTTGTGGCGTATCTTTTTGTCTGTGTTATGGCCCAAGAAATAAAAGGTTTGTCATTAATAGAATATATATTATTTGTGTCCATGTATCTCCAAATCATATTTGTAGTAGTATATTCTTTCCTATTTTCCTATTATTACTATTATTTTCACATTAGGAACTTAGTATAGTGTTATTTGGAGAACAATACTTTACTAGTAAACGTAATTCATCTTTTGCAGAAAAATGTAATTATAAACCAAATGATATGTATAATGCTGAAGATTATAAAAAAGGTGTTAATATAAATTCTTTTCTG